GAAATTTCTTAATAGACAAGGGAATACAACAATCTGTAAGCCAAATGTTTGCACTGCTTCGTGGACGCTTTTGGAGTATTAATTATTTATACAGGCCAAGAGGCAAGAGAGTTCTCCATGGGGTCTTCCTTCATGTCAACATTATCACTCTAGATATTAACCTCCAAAACTCAGGCATATACTAGATCATTTATGAGAGTGCTTACCAGACATTAGAAGTGGAAATTCTGCCCTTACTTTAGGTTGAGAATGAAATGAGGAAGATCACTTGAGGCAGATGCTCTGTGCTTTTGCTTTGCCTTCCTGGTTCTCAGAAGTCACAAAGAGTATGTCCAGGGACAGTGATGATTTCAAGGAGAGACACATGACTGAAAATGGCTGGCTTTTTTCTTTTTAGTGGGAGACTGATGTCAGTAAATCATCCTTATTTTGCATTTTGGAAGGTATCATATAGGGTAAATATTCATGCCATAATTTGGGAGTGCTCTGGGAATAAATCAGGCCAGGTAGCAAAATAAATAAATAAATAAATAAATAAATAAATAAATAAATAAATAAATAAATAAGTAAGTAAGTAAGTAAGTAAGTAAGTAAGTAAGTAAGTAAGTAAGTAAATATTATCACAACAATAATAATTGGAAGAAAGCTTTGGTATCTTTAGAGTTGTGTAATATAATATAGAAGTTGGAAGGCTCTTACAGATTATCTAAACCAGACATGTCAAACCCGTAACATCACATGACGTTGCACAGCGTTATCAGGCCGGTTTTGCCATTGCCAGCAATGGGGTGGGCGTGGCTTCCGGATAACGCATCCAGCCTGCAGACCAGCAGTTTGACACCCCTGATCTAAACCAACCTCATGCTCACTGCAGAATTTCAAACTTTACTAAGCCTTTCCTATTGGATGGCCATCCAGCCTTGGTTTGAAAGCTTCCAGTATGGAGCTCACCTATTCCAGGTGGCTTGTTCTACTGCTTGCCATGGAAGAAGTCCACCCAATATTCTGCTGAATCTTTGTGTTTTGATTTCCACCTATGGATCCTTGTCTTACGGTACGGATAGCTTCAACAGAGAACCGGACCGCTTCAATTTGCACATGACGGCCTTTCAGATATTTGGGGATCACTGTAATTTCTCCTTCTTCATTTCTCTTCTCTAGCTCTTCGGCAGAAGGCTTGATTTCTTCAACTTTACATGACTTTCTTAAATTACAAAGCCCCGAACTAGATAAAGAACTCCAATATAATAATATTATTATCTTTGCTAGTATAGACTAAGACTACAAATTTGATAGATGCATATTATTATAACAAAGATAGGTTTTTCCTTTAAATATACAGGTACGTAGTTTCCCTGACATATAGTATATTAAGCCAAGCAGAAGAAGGGCTTAAACAATTTCAGCATCTATATTGTTCTTTGTAAGTAGCCCAAATCCTCCTGTAACTTCCTTTTGTTGCAAGTAACCATATCATTATAATACTAACAGATAAATTGTGAGGAGAATCTTAATGGATAAGGAATGCCAGTTATTCTTCCTATGTGTCTGTAACATCAGCATATTTTTGACTATATGGACAAGTTATTAAAAACAAGCTCTATTCGACAAAGATCATTATGGGGAAAATATAAATTAGTACTCTTGTTCATGTCTTGACAGGTTAGATTAATTACAAGCAACGGGATATTGCAAAATGATGTATATTTTTCTCCATTGTAAGGCAAAAGTATAAAACAGCACCATGCCATGACTTTGCAATATCTCTGTATTATGACACTTGGCAACTGACTCATATTTATGACAGTGGCAGTATCCCGGGTTCTTGTGATGTTTTGCAATTTTCTGACAAGCAAAGTCAATGGGGAAACCAGATTCACTTAGCAACCATGTAACACTTCTGCTCTGAGCTACATGTTGCCAGGTTGCTTCTGAGTGCTGGTCATTTTATAAGCACCTGTCTCCCATATTATTTAACTGGCTAATTCAATCCAGCAGAGTTGGTGATCTCTGGGTTCCTTTGATTAAACAATGCAGTCTATTGGGAACCCAGAAGTGCAACTTGTCTGTCACAATGGCTAAACTCTGGAATGAGTTTTCCCCAATATTTGGAGGGCTCCCATCCCGGTGATATTTAGGAGGATCTTGAAGACTTGGTTCTTCACCCATTCCTTTAGAATTTCATACGTAGTACCCCTGTCCCCAAACTCAACTCCTTTTAATTAACAAAAGCAAAAATAATCCAAATCACTTTTAACAAAAAAGTTCATAAAGGGGTTTCAATCTTTTATGAAATTACCCATGATCCAACAAGTATATATTTTTCTCTTGTGGGCAATCTTCTATTGGATTTCTTTGGAGGAGAATTAACTTGGTACAGGTAGTTCTCAACTTACAACAGTTCATTCAGTGACCATTTAAAGTTACAGCCCTGAAAAAAATTACTTGTGACCATTTTTTACACAACCATTGCATCTCCATGATCACAGGATCAAAAGTACGACAACTGGCAACTGACTCATATTTATGACAGTGGCAGTATCCCGGGTTCTTGTGATGTTTTGCAACTTTCTGACAAGCAAAGTCAATGGGGAAACCAGATTCACTTAGCAACCATGTTACTAACTTAATAATTGCAGTGATTCAGTTAACAAATGTGGCAAGAAAAGTTGTTAAACGGAACAAAACTCTATGAACAAATTTCTCATTTAACAGCATAAATTTTGGGCTCAATTGTGCTCGTAAATTGAGGACTACCTATATTGTGTAACTTATCTCTTGTTGTCTTCTGATATAAAGCAGTTATAATCTCTTGAAACATTTTTTATCTTTACATATTTTGTGTTGGTTCTGTGCATATTGTCTTCTGTACCCATATCTTTCTCTTCCCGTTCCATAGATTATGTTAGAGCTTCAATAGCCTTTCCTTAATGTCTTCCCCTTATTTTCTGGGATCTCCATTTTTTTCCTTCAATTTGTTTAACTTTTCAATCAATTATAATACAGATTATTCAAGTTTTAAAAATTTACTTTCTCTTGCATATTTGCAAATGTTTCAGTCAGGTCTTTCTTAACAAATTCAGTCACTGAAGTCTTAGATGACCTTATAATATTCTTTCCAATTCATCAAACATAGTTTGTAACATCCCTAGTATCCTTTTCTTGGTATTTGCTGTGTTAGTAATTCTCTCCTTCCTTCTTTCACTACTTCCCTGATAATATTTTTTCTCTTTCTGTCTCTCTTATATTAAGAGATAAAATCTCTTATCTTTTTGTATAGAAAAATCTACCAATCATTTCATTTGAAAAACACTCTTCCTTGAAGGTATATGCTATTTATTTAATTAATTATAAAGGCTTTAAATGCTTTAAAATGTGTGACAAGATCAAATTCAACTACACCCGTTAGCCTTTGCAATTTTTCATAGTCCAAACTCTTAGCAAGCTTTTTGCTGTACATTAGTTCTCAATACTTACACTTATCATTTTTTAATATATTACTGTATTTCCGCTATTTTTTTTGTTTAATTTCATTCTTTTACTGTTATTTTTACATTCTTTTTCAAATTTTGTCCGTTTTATTTTTGTAAGCCGCCCAGAGTAGCCCCACAATGAGATGGGTAGCAAATAAATTTAACAAACAAAATAAAGAAATATTTTTGTCTGTTTCTCTTTATTTATACCCTGATCATAGACCCTTGGGCTAGATTAATGGAGAAATTAATGGATGCCTCTTAGACATTTGTGATATGGAAGCGGCTAATATTTTGCTTCTTTCAACGATTCTTTAGAATGGTTAGGTATCATGCTCAAAAACTAAATTTTTTAATACTATCCTATTTCTTAATAAAGATGAACTTTCCAAAGACTTGAGAACTATAGTTTAACAATTCAAGTACAGTTGAACAATTGTAGTTCCATACAGGATTTGTAAATTGCTTTGTAAAATGTTACATACAAAGCATTATATTGCAGGTGCAAGACAATACTAGAGAGAAAGGAATGTAGAAACAATAGAGAGGTAAAAAAAAACATTCAGATTTTTCTATAACACAATTCAAGTTTATTCCATTCATTCCTGCAACACAAACACTGTATCATTTAGCAGTCTGATGTCTACGAACCATGATAATGATAAACCAAACTGTGTCAAAATAGTTACATTGTGGAAAAAAGTCAAATATCAAAATGCACAAAGCACTATTTTCCCCCATCACTGGAGTAGAAAGATGATTGTTTTCCCATTTATAAAATATAAGACTGTTCAGTTGAAGATTCTGCATGCAACACTGGAATTGCTCAACTAGGACATTCTATTCTTACCAGCTTCTTCTATTAATCAATTCATCTACTTAGTACTGTACTGAAGAACAAAAACCAAGTCATGAAAGCAATGCCTATAACAAAGAGCAGAAAGTTTTAAAATGGTAAATCATCTTAAACAGAAATCAGAAAGGAAGGAGACTGATACTGCACTGGATTTCTAGATTGCTAACTAGTGATGACTCCTTTAAACGGGGGTTGGGATGGGATACTTCAAGAGTGTTCACCAAGAGCTAGTATTATCAGATACTAGCAACAATATTTGAATACAAATCACAACTTAGTATAAATAAAAAAAATCTAAAGTTAGCCTGATTT